GCAATATCTGCCTGTCTGCTGCACTTCTCTGCTTCATGGTGCAGATGTAGGTGACTTTGGGTTGAGGAGGAGGAACATATGTGGGGTTTACAGTCTCAGCTGAGCTCTGCACTGCTTGGGTTACACCGTGTGGCTACCACAGGTACCAGCGACTAACAAGGGCTCACTGGCAGCTGCTGGGATGGGGATTGTAAACCTGACCTGAACTGATCCTTTCTGCTGACATTTCTAATCTGCTGAGCTGCTGATTGGGTGAAAGTTCTCTGTGGGTCTTGTCAGGCCTTGTCTTGTAGCAGAGGAAGTTCTGCATTTATCTTCTACACATAAATTCTAGAAAAGATTGAATATAAAAGGGAAAACTTAGCACTAGTTAAAATGAATGCAGTATTGGTATCTGGGTTTTTTTCTCAATTTGTTGTACGCTCAAGTAGAACCTCTAAATCCTTGTCTTTACTGGAGAGTCATACTGGGGGCACTTATCTGATGTGGTGCTTTGTAAACACTCTGTCTTTTGGTGTAAAGACAAAAATTACAAGATATATACACATAGACTAGAAAAACAGAAGGAACAAAAAAGGCAAGTTATGGTCTATTTCTTATCTACCTTGTAACTACATCATGTTATGGAGCCAATAATTGTTTTGAAAAGGACTGAGAAAAATTACAGAAGTGATTGAGGCAAGGTCAAATAGAGATCTGTCATCAGCATTTTCTAGCTAATAGTTGCTGAATATGACCTACTCATATTGTGACTTGTGTAAATMATTTATTTTAGTTTAACTTGTTTGTTCATAAGTTGTGGCTGCAAAAAAAGCCTGCACTCTTGCTTTCCCTTAGTCTCCTCTTTCTTCTTCACACACACTCTTGTGTTTAGCAAACCATGTTTTTAAACGCACCGAGTCACCTCTTCATGTTTTATGGAGTACAATATGCTTGCACATCAACAGGCAATTTTATAGAGACTATGATTTTAATACAGTGCAATGGTATTGGTGGCTTCTCAGACTGACACTTGATGTTTTAATTAATTTTTTCTTGCTTTTATTTCTATTATTTAATAGCAATATGCCCTATTAAATTTTATTTATTGGAATGCCATTAAAGTAGTTTTTTATTTGCAGCATTTTCACTAGTTTATGCATATTATCATATGAAAAACGATTTTGCATTTATCACAGTTGATGCTGGTACCCAATTTTAGTGCTCTATTTTATGGGTTTTTCTACCTTCATGTGTGTGCCAGGTGCTGGAAAAGCAAATAAAAAGGCAGGTCCTCGCCCTGTTACACCAGAGAAGACAGCAAGGAAAGGAGTTCACAGCTAAGCAGTTGTATGCATCTGCTCTGAGCAGCCACARTAATTTTGTTGTTGTTGTAGCTTTTTAATACATATTTCACCTGTGAAATTTGGAATGAATTAATCTTTCTTGTAAGATGATGGGAGGGCGCTGTGTGTTAAACTGAAGTCTGTAACCCCCTCCATTTTATGAATAAAAGGGACAAGCAGCCTCTTGCCTCACTCAGTAAAATGATCAGTCACAATAGTGATTTACCAATTGCATATGCCTTTATCAAGGTTCCCTCTAGGAACAGGTGCTGTATCAGTCAGTGAGAAATGCAGTGCAGATACTGGATAGAAATGCAGTTTCCAACAAAAATGCATTCCACCAATAAGTTTTTAGGGAAATTTAGGCTATATTTCTGTAGTGATTAGGAATGTAGTAGTATTCTTAAGTATTATAGCTTTTATTCACGTGTTTGCTGCCATGTTATCTGGTCATGAGCAGCTTGTGTAGAATGGTGTAGTGATTGTAAATGGAGTTCAGGAAGGGGTCAGAATCACTGCAGTCTTTTCCACAGCACTTAATATCACCTCTATTTGCAAATTCAGTATAGTGACTCACAAGCAGAGGAAGCCATAAACAAGAAGATAAAAAAGGAGGCCCTCTGGAATGTGCTGGGAAAATATCAGAAATTACCATTTCTATCCTGTTGTTGTGGCTGTCTTAATCTCAAGGATTTTATCAATAATATAAGTAGTAGGAGTAATGTATTAGCAGTAATAGCAATAGGTGTCTCCAGGTATGCAGAGCATCCAGAAGGTTTCATCCTATGTAGCTTGGGAAGTTTACACTGCAGTGGATGCTTCCATCCACTGATGAACATTGTCCATTAGGTCTGGTTTAGATGGTTGCTTTGGGATGAAACAACATATTTTATGATAGCAACTTGGTTAAAATAAAGCCTGGAAAACTATTTCAGATGTAGTAGCCAATACAATAGGTATGTAAAGACTGGTAAAAGGAGTCTCATCTCCAGGGCTAACTGACATTTCTAGTTTCCTAATAAGCTCTCCATAGGGAGTAATTTTAAGCTCTCAAAAATCCTGGTACTTGTTTTACATACTTGGCACCTTTATATTTTGGATATGGGTAAGCAGGTGAGCAAACCTCACCGAAATCTCCTGAGGGCCTGAATTCATTAATTGTTGATTAATTTTACATGTTACAGATGGCCAACATAAGCACAAATATAATTTTCCTTTTTAAAAGTGCTTTTGAAGAGAGCATTCAAACATAGCTTATAACATGCCGGATACTCTGGTGGTGACCAGTAAGTAGTTTTCGGTTTTATAATACTTTGTTCTCATCCTAATTAGATACTCATCAACATGATATGTGTCAATACGGAAATATGTCAATAGTAAATACACCATTGCATCTGTTTGTCTTGTGCCACTTGGTAGCCATGAGCTTTTGTCTTCAGGACAGAATAATTACTATTGTAATTATAAGAAAATGATGGTTGAAAGTCATGGGAAGGAGTCAATCTATAAAGAACAGGAACCGGAGCTTAGTGCTGCAAGGTGTATTGAAATGCATCTGTTATCTTAAATTTGCTTATAACAATAAGACTTAAGAGTATCTGCTTGGTTTAAAGAGAAGACAGAGCACAAGTTCTGTTACTCAGCAGTCTTGAGGACTAGCTCTGCACGAATAATAATAGTTTAATGTTTCTCAGTTTTGCCATAGATGTTTAGAAGATACCTTTTAAAACTTTTCAAGTTTGAGGTTCCAAAAAGCTCATTTTTGATGTCCCCATCTTGCTCTTTTCCTAAAATATTTCAGTGGTATTGGTAATAAATTTGATTTTAGTCACTGTTGGACAGATCTGTGGGGTGTTTTGGTGAATACTGTATGAACATACATACATACATATGCATGTGCTCCCCCTACACTTAGTACAGTATTTGATATGTACAATTCATTGTCCTCTGCATAAGATGTTTTGAAGCTTAGATAAGCCTAGAGGTTTTCTGTAAAAACAGCCTATTTAAATCCAATTAGTGTATCTTGTTGTTTCTATATTTATGCAAATATAGCACCTTTACTTTAAACAATACCTTGCACAAAGTGATGTTGAGATTGGATCACTCATAAAGCTAAGCACTATTGAGTAATCATCCTTTATCATGCAGTATAATGTGTTTTATTGATGTGTGTGGTGTGGTAAGTACACGTTTCTTCATTATACTATGCGGGCCCAGTATTAGCCAGTAAGAACAATGTATTATGTAAAATATAAGAAGAATCTCTTAAAAATGCCTACTGTATTATCCAAAGGAATTAGCATTTGCTAGATTGCCAGTCAGCCAAGGTTTTACAAGAGTTATTGTCATTTTGATTTTTTGGATGAGTCATTTGGTACATTGCCCCCAAAGGCACTTCATTATGATTCAGTGCACAGCAGATAAAACTGCTTAGGCTTTCGGGGCTCCGTGGAAAACGAGTGGGGGTTGCAGTGGCTCAGCGTTGTGAAGCAGCAGTATTATGCTTAATTGACACCTTTGATGTAGCCCTAAGACAGCACCTGCACCTCCCACTGCTGCTCTGAAGACGTCAGCCTTACGCAGAAAAGGCTTCTGCTTATGAATCCTGCATCGCATTCAGCTCACTCTGTGAGCAGCCCCAGCTATCCTTAACTAATCCCATTGCTTCTCAGTCTGGCTACAGCTTGGCTTAGTGCAGAGCAGGAATTTTGCTGCTTGCTGCTATCAGATTAAACAGTAAGATCTTGTCCATGTTAGAGCTCATAGAAGGTAAGTCAAATGCCTTGTGGATATCTTTAGTATGTAAACATTCTCCTGAGATTCCGAATGTGGGAATCTGATTGTGAGTTCTTCTTATCCTAGCACTTACAAATGTGGACTGTGATAGAACAGTTGCTTGTTTAAGAATATTTGCAAGATATGCGATTCATGCTTTGTTGTGTTTCTATCAGTGCTTCAATGTGAATATAATTGATAGTCTCTCATGTGATTACTTTGTGGTAGAATTCTGTCCTCTGCTGGCATTGTTTTGTTAATTTATCGGATAATGTCACATGTGTGTGAAGATGCCTTTAAAAAGATAGGCACTGACATGTGTAAAGAAACTTACTGATTTGAGAAAGTGATGCTTTCCTGTCAGTCAGACTGGAGGAGTTATAGCTAATTCGTTTGCCTCTAGAAAGCCCTTCTGGGTTAAGTCTGAGGTGATGTTTTGGTCAGATAGTATTGCAAAAACCTCTTCAAATGGTTGAGTAAAGAAAGGCAAGCAGCTGCTTTGTTCTTGCAAGCAATACTGTGTTTTATTATTACTGGGTAGCCCTTCAAGCCATAGTTAAATGGAATTAAAAGGTTAACATATTGGAAGGTTAAAAAAGCACTTTCTTCTGCTTTACTTTCAAGTACAGGAGCAATACAATTTAAGAAAACAGGATCTCATTCTCTACCACTGAATAAAGTATTTTGAGGTTTTTTCCTCTGTATGAAAAATTGTCTTCACGAGCCAAAACTCTAAGGAAATAATTATTTTTTGGATTACCTTATTTAATTTTTGAAACATTAAGCAAAAGCAAAGCAATATGTTCAACAAAGACTGAAAAAAAAAAAAGTTGATTTAACTATTTTGTTCCTTTAATAATGCCTTGTATTTATTTTTTCAATTTCTTGTTCTTTTAGTGAATGGAACCCCTGGTAGCCAGCTTTCTACTCCCCGCTCTGGGAAGTCTCCAAGCCCATCTCCCACCAGCCCAGGAAGCCTACGGAAACAGAGGGTAAGGAAATAAGGAAACTGATTTCTGAGCATGGCTGGAGAGAATCCAGCATAGCCATTATCTAATAACCTTCTCCCTTCTCATTCCTTGTGTGCGTGTAAAGCCATAGGGTGGAAAACCCTGGCTACAATTTCTGTTTGTGAAACACCCTGAAGTGGAATGCAACTGTTCTGTGTCTGTCAAAATGCTAAGTATACTGGGAGCTGGTTTATCCTTAGGGGGAAAAAACGGGGGTTATCTCTCTCCTTTTTCACAAAACTTTTTGTTTGTTTTACTTTCCTTTTTCCATGTGTTTCTTAACTGAAAGAAAATATTCATGTTGTCAAAGAAATCTTTTCTGTTYCTAACTTGCTGTGAGTGTTATGTCACTTGCACAACCTACAGACTGTTTTGATTTTGAAGCAAGGTGAAAGAATGCACTGTGGAATTTAGCTGTGATATCATAGTCCTGTGCAGTGAAGATACTATCCGTACCAAAGCAACGTGAGACTTGTCAGGCACTCTCCTGGATGAGAGCTGATAGTAGCTGTAGTTTGCCCCTAGTTATCCTGTATGGAGGAACCTACAGTATCCCTAAGCATCCAGAACTTAGGTGGCCTGTTACTGCTGTAACCTCTGATGAAATACTGCTTATTCAACCCAAAAGCTCCACATGCTGATTTAATTAATTGTATCTGTTTAAAAGCAATGGGACAGAAGTCTATGTATTTTCTTCTGTTTTCTAAACTGTGGGCAGTTCTCAATGAAAGCATCCCTAAGGCAGTAGTCTGTATCTCAGAAGTGTTTATAAACAGAGTTTGAACACATGCTTTTTCTGCCTTTTCAGTTTTTAAATAAAGACATATTTGTGTCTCTCAAAATAAGGGCACTATGTACAAAACTGGCAGTGCTTGACTTTAAAGGCTGGTACAGACCTGATTCCCCAGATACCCAGATCAGGAATAGCTGTAGCATGCCATGATTCCCTTCTAGCCTGAGGACCTTTCTTCATGTCTGATGTATGGCGGGGAGCTGAAGCATGCCCAASCCTTACTTCTGTATGGGATCCAGCTATGGGTTTGTGCCATGCCTTGTTTGACACGGGAGCTGACGGTGATCTTGCAGTGTAGGGACAGCCAGTGAGCAGCAGCTCGGAGCCCCAGGGTAGTGCCATGGTTTTCATCGTCCGATACAAAGACYGTAAAGGTGTGAGTTCCAGTGGGTAAGCTGGTGCTAAAATCTCCTTGAATGCAATGTCTTCCCCACCTGTTTGTTCTCGCTCTCTAGGCTTATTAATGAATCATTAAAAAGTCACTGAAGAGGGAACAAAGAGTCTTCCAAATGAATTATACATTGTTGATGTGAGGGCATCTGTTTAGATGGATGATACTAGTTTACATTGGATTTGCATTTGCTCTAAGTCTGTCTCTTTTCATTGGTAACTTTCCTAAACTTTCTTTCTCTCCACTGATGCTTCACTCTCCACAGTGAAGAAATGTTTTTCTGCTAACGTTTGTGGATGGGTGAGTGGGAACCATGTGATCAGCACTATTAGACACAAGGGTTTCTAGGCACAATATTTCTGACTTTCAAATGGGAAGAGGAGAGCAGATGGGCTTCTTTTTATGTGTAAGTGTAATAGGATCACTGAGTGGCAGTGTTATGGATGCAAAGTGCTATGTGGTGGTAACATAATCAGATTGCTAACTGTACAGAAAATAAATATTGAAGTAAATTACAGGAGGGATAAGACATTGTAAGGGAGTTGAATTTTCTTCCATATTCATATTCAGTCCCCTTGACCTCAGTAGGAGACCTTTCATGCTTGTTTGGCTTTATTTGAGACAGATTTATTTTTTACCTGATGAAACATGGAATATATTCATGTAAAAACAGATTGCAATCATGTAAAATGCATTGTAATAATATTATTTAGGTTACAAAATCAACTTCTTAGAAGTTCAGGGGTGGAAATTTTACACTCAGTCTGATAATTTATTTCATCTGCTTTCATGTTTGACTTGTGAAGTGAATGAGTTAGMAGTTCAGTGTAAAAACATATGATTGTGTCATTAAAGGTTATAATGTACATTCCAATGGATAAACTAAGCATTAAGCAGTGCTTTCAAATCATAATTTCATTGTTAGCAGCATAATTAGTGCTCTGTTTAGTTTTAGTTTGGTCTTTTGTGTGTTGTCATTTAAATTTTACTTAGAGGAGAGGTTATTTTATGTGCCATTTCATCATAAACCAAATTTGAACCCGAGCGTTTTGTCTTCAATGGCTTCAGCTATAGGGCTGAGGAGCCAGCTGCAGGGTGAGGTTTATTCCCTAGGAGCTTGTTGAGGTGTTGTATCATGTGATAGACATAAAAGGGAGATTTAAGTTCCCTTCCTGTCCCCAGTTCTGAGAGCTGAGGTGGTCCTGCCCTGAAAGAGTGTTGGCTGCTGTAGCTGTGATCTCAGGTTGAAGGTGATGGCTGGGTTTCTGTCTTGTCTGTTTTCCTCTCTTCACCTGGAGTTTGAGGGAGCTACTGCTTTAGAACTGAAATGAGATGCTGAGTCCKGGGAACACCAGCTCAGCTGTGTAATTTGGGGGTTTTGTCCACAGGTTTGTCCATCAGTTCCACAGGATGCCAGTGGCAGCTACTGGGTCTGGAAGGCAATGGGAGCATTTCCTCTAGCCTAGCCTGGCTCCCCTTGACTTAACCAGTCAATCAGGTCTTCAGCATCCCACTCCAGTGCTATGAGGGAGTTGTAGACTTGGAATATCACAATGCTGAGGGGTCTAGGTAGGCTGCCAGTGTTTTTTTCTGGGAAGCACAGGTGAGAGGAAATCATGCTCTTGAATTCAGAAGCATCAAAGCAAGGTACTTCCACAAAAGGAGGGATTTCTTCCTGGGAATAGTAAGGACCTGTGGAGTGCATTAGGCAGCTTGAAATATGCATTCATGTTCTTCCTTACTGACATTCCATCACTCATCTTTAAAAAAAATAAATTCTGGCCTTTGAAGGAAGGCTTTCCATTGATGTAAATAAAGTCTAAAATGCTGCTGTGGTACCTGCTCAGGAAAGCAGTACTCTTCTAACCCTACAGATAAAATTTTGTACACTCAAAAGCCAGAATATAAAATGATAAAGTTTATTCTTTATCACTTGCATATGTATGTGGCTAAGTCATTTCCAGAAATTCAGAAATCAATGAAAGTTATATTTTTATAATCTTGTGCAAAACTCAGTCTATATTTGAAGAAAGTAAGATTTGAAAGATCAATTTAATGGATGTAATACACGAAGTTGAAAATTAACTAGGAACAATTTTTCAGCTATCTTAGCTAACTGTCAACCAATTTTCAGCTTCTGAATATTTTAACTAGCAGGCTGTGTGCTATACTTATGCTTTCTTGAAGTTTAATTTTTTTTTCTTAAATAGAAAATTAAGATTCTGGGTTTTAAATAGTTATGAACATCATTATAGTTTTTTTCATAGAGGATTAATAAATTTGAAATTCAAATTTATAGCAGTTTAAAGCAGAGTTATTGTATCACACTCAAATCTAATTCTTAGTGCAACAGAGTGCAGTTAACTATGAAGATTCTAAAAAAGTAAAGTAGCATCTTTTAAAAAAATTATTTTTTCTATGTCCTTAGAGATTGCAACCTATAGAGTAAAAAAATAGTTAGATTTAACTTTTAACTCTTGGCTGATTCGACAGGTTGAATTCTATGTATATAAACATCTTCTGAGTTGTATGTAACCAAGAAGTCTGATAAATTCAGCAATTTTTGTCTTATGAATCTATACAAAATAATAAATAGATTCTCCTCATAATTTCAAGAAACCAATTTCCTTACCCATAATTAACCAGAGACTTTCAGTAACTCTCTGGCTAACTATGGACAAAGAAACATCTTTCAGAAAGGAAAACTTTTATTTAAGACTTCCAAGAATTTAAAAGCAGGTGAGGAAGCAGAGAAAATGACACTGAAATCTTGTGAGTGATTTTGCTTTAAATCAATCATAGAGTTATTAAAATAAACACAAAACTATGCTCTAAATATTAAAAGTCAGAAATATGTCCTTTTTCAGTTCCAAATGCGTATTTTTTATATTCAGAAGCAAGAGTAGTCGCCTGGGAGACACTGTTCAAAAGCTTGAGGTGTTACCTTCTCTAGCAAATCAAAAGGAATTTTTTTCTGTACTATGTATTAGAAATTCCCAAACGGTATATTCTCAAAAGAAATTTTCATAATTAACAAGCTACTTAGTATTGAGAATCAGGTGGTATTATCTGTTTAAAATTCTTCTCCTGCCTAGATTGTTTACAACAAAATAGAAATGTATTTAAGATCTGATTTTCACTCTGGCAGTCTAATCTTATCTACTGTGYGTATACACGCCTGTTGGCAGAATACATGCAGAATAAGCACTCTAGGGAATCAAACCTCTCTTTAACATACTTAAATCCCTTTTACATCATGCCTGCGTGTAAAATATAAACCTGCATTGATTGTTGAGATCCTTGTAAATTTGAAATTTGCAAAGTATTCATTTTACCTAGTCCTTTTTTATAGTATAGCTTTCCTATTTGTTCATTTCTTGTCTGTTATCTTACTGTGATTGAAAAAAGATAAACAAATCCATCAAAGGTCAGCCCTAAAGCTGGCTCCATCAGCTTTCCCATTGTCATGTTTGCTTGTATTTTGTCTTATAGGTTTTTTTGTTGCAATTTGTTCATATGTTCTATATGGAAATGATCCCTCAAAAGACTTTAAAGGTATCAGAGAATGTTTATGAGATGTGCTGGGCACCTGCCCAATCAGAACCCCTCTAAACTATAAGTTACGCTTAATTCACCTTAAAAAAGACAGTGCCCTGTCCTCTATCATTTCTCCTTTCTGAACTTTCATTCCATGCTAATGTGTGTCCTGATGATGGCTGTTGTGCTGTGTAGGTGGGATAGGTCAGTGCATCATCCCATAACACCCCTGGCATTTGAGGATTATCTGATCTGTTAGAGGATCAGAGTGTGTGGAAAGGATGAAGTGGATCCACTCACTCAGACTCTCCCTCTGCTGTCATGAGCCGGTTGCTTGGCTACCGACAGAGAGAGACATTGATGGGGGGACAAGTGGAAAGCACACTGTGTTTTCATACCTACACATGGAGACAGAGGAGCTCTGGGGAAGGGTTACCAGTGCCAGTACAGCTCTGGCAAGCAGCAGTGCTCAGTGTCAGCATTCCAGGGGTCAGATGTTGCTGGATCTACGCTGTATCAGTGGTGGGTGGCAGGTTTTTATTGCCTTACAGWAGGTAAGCACTTACGCTGCCACTCTGCCGCTGCCAAACAGCTAAAAGGGAAATGCATTCCCTTTGAGATTAAATTAATGTTTCCAAATTTTCAATCCATTAGGAGTCTCCAGAACAGACAAGTGTTGTTTGAATAGTGTTTAATAGAAAACACTCAAAGATAAAAGGTTGCCTCTGAGAATAAGTTGTACGTTGAAACTTCAGCTTTATTTACTAACCATTTATTTTATATGTCTGTAATAATATGATATTAAGACAACAATATGATCATATAGAATGTATGTATTTTGTGTTAAACAATGTCTTCTGGTCCACAGTAACAGAAAGAATATAAGACAGTTGCAGTGCAACAAATCAAACACAATAAACAAATCTATACTGCACTTCATCTTACAGGACCTGTATCGCCCACTGTCTTCGGATGATATGGATTCAGTAGGAGACTCAGTGTAACAGAGAAAATGGAACAATGTTTATGGTTTGTGATTTGATGAAGGTTTAGCATTTTTAAAGAAAATAGCTGCTAATTTAGTCATAGTGAATCGCACAAAAGAGTTTTGCATATTTAATATTAACAACATGGGGCCAAATTAATTCTAGTGTGTGGGGGTAATTTTAGGCTTTACCACTGCATTTTAATGCAAAAATTTGTAGTGAATGAGCCATTCAATATGTCCATCAAATCCAGAACAGCATTGTGCATGCTTTAAGGCACAAAGATTGAAGAAAGTGAATATAACACACAAATCCATAATGGGCACATTTATGAATACCACTATTTTTATCATCCGAGGTACTGATTATATGTTCTGTTTTTGCCATATGTATCTTTATTCGTTTTGGTATGAACAGTTAATGAGTACTTTGCTTTTACCAACGAATAGGTAAAATGCAGAGAAGAAAATACCTGCCATATTAAACTACTTGCACCATACTGGCTGATCCCAAAGCACACACTTGGAACACTCTGAGTTTAGTCTTTTTATCTAAATGAAAAGGAAGTGAAGAAATCCTGTGTAGTCACAGGACAAAAGGAAATTCTTTCAAAGCAATATTCAAATTGTCTTCACTTCATTGTCATCTGATGACTGTAAACAGAAGGTTGTTCACAGGCAATATGAATGTTTTACCTGGCAAGAGCTGTTAATGCTCATCATCCATGTGTTGCAAGTAAATATGGACAGATTTCTGACCCAGGAAATATGAGGCCCTGCTGGCTAGAGGTATGTGTCTGACATACATATGATGACACCTTTTGAAAAAATATATTTTTGCCTGAAAAAGTAGTTTATTATGTTCACTTTTGTTACAWTAACAGCAACATCATTTTTTATCTGCTATAAGAAGAAATTTTGTGCATTTTAAAAAGAAAGCCTCCAGAAATGGTGATACTGTAAATCATCCTCCTATTGACCTAATTTTTCTGGTTTTGCAGTATCTAGAGGTGCTCTTTTTGTACAACATGAATATGCAAAACTCCTTTAGCGTTAAAGTAGGTCGCGCATTATAACCGCTTGCTTAACAAATATCTACTAATTTTTGTTTGTTTCTGCTGCTTTATTGTGATAATCTTAGCCTACTTAATTTACATAATAGCAATATTTCCTTTTATATGTTGTATTTAAGCCCATTTGTAGTGATCACACACTTTTGCAGTCTTATACCTATCCTTTCATTTTTTCAAATACTAATGATTTAAGAATTAGAAATCAGTGTGTTTCTGATTCTCAACAAAAATCTATAGAGGTTATATTTTTTGAGCTACTTAGTGATGATTTAATATATTTTGAAATCATAAAAATTTACTTAATTACAGAAAAGGTTTCGCTGCCACATGCCAACTTTTAAATCTAATGAAATAATTCCTTTAGACTTATTTGTCCATAATAAAATTCAGCAAATGGAAAATGTTGGCATGTGATGTTATGGCTTCACTGTATCAACATAATTTTCTTTACAGAGGATATTTGCAAAAAGAAATACAAGGGCAGCAGAATACAAAACTTACCTTCTCTGTTTSCAGTATTTGGTTCCAGTATCACCTGGAGAGAAAGTCATTGATCTGGCAGGTTTGCTGAAGCAGTCAAGTCATTTGCTTTTCAAATGCATGTTTTTGCCATTCCTGCTTCAGTCTTCAATCTAAAAGTGTTCCCAGCTATAAGGACAGTCCATCCCTCAGCCCATTCTCTAATCCTAAGGCTGCCCTGCTCTGTTGAAAAAGTTCACAGCTGTGAAGTTACTTGCATTTTCAGCTGTTATGAGGGAATGTCTTTGCAAGATGAGAAATGCATATTGTATAAAGGTGCATTGGGATCAGTTTCCAAAAATTCAGGGAACTCAACCAGATTGAACGAAATACTTACTGACATTTTGAAAATTGTTTTTTCCTGTAAAGAAAATAAAATCCAGGAATTTTGTTTTTCCTTCCCTCTCCCATATAGGCCACTGCTGCTTAAAGCAGTTTATTAAGAATGTTTATWCTGCGCAGGGAGCACAGATTGCCAGCAAACCTGAATCCCATGGCTTTGCTTAGCTGTGGAAAAGAAAAAATGGACCTTATATCAGTAATTGTTATCATAGCGAGTTCTCCATCAAGACTGTTTTAAAAAAGAATATGCTAGTCCATAACATTTAATCATTTCAACATATGACTTGTATTAAGGGGCTATGCAGGGGCAAAACATATCATTAATATTACATTTAAGGAATGAAAGTCCCTTAGAGATTAAAAAGGTACACTGTTTATAGACTTTGATATCCTTTTTTGTGTGGAATGTAATTCCCATTATACATGAGCAGAAATGAAATGTTTCTTTTGAGCAAGACCAGAAGGTTTCAGTTTATGGGTGAAACTGAAATTGTGTTCTTTGATGCTATAGTTCTGCTTACAACAGCACAGGTTTTAATTTGTCCCTAGATTTCATCAACTGCATTAAATAATGGAATAGCTTAAGCAACTTTATAGTGTTTGAACCTCTGCTATTTCTCTGTATGCTGCATTATTTGTGCCTACTCTGAGGTGATTATGATGTAGCTAAAGAGTTGTATAGATTGTGAAAGCTTTGCTTCCCTTTGAGCTTTATAAATACTTGTGATTATTTCCCTAATGCTTTCTGCAACTTTTTGTTTTGTTTTTTTAAAAACTCTATTCTTCTTTTGTGTAACAAGCAATTCTCATGTGAAGCACAGAACGTGCATGTTTGTATTTATACGCACACGTACACATACATAGGTTTGGAACGGCTTTGGAATCCATGCACTGTTATGTCACCTTTGTGACTTCAAAGAAGTGGGGAAAATGTTTTAACAGGAGGATGTTTTAACAGTGTCCTGTGGGAGTCACTACAGCTCTGTTAAAGTCAGTGGAGTTGCACCAACCAGTACTTGCWGAGCAGCTACCCCAAGGAATTTTGTACAATTTTTTAAGAGATCACATCTACAAACAAGGGCTAAGTTCAAACTGACCAGAAGTTAATGGCAAACCCACTGTTTACACCAAGGTGGGAAGCATAGAACCTTTTGYACAAATACATGCACACAGACAGAGCATTAATCCTAAATTTGAAATTTGAAAATTTGAAATGGTATTTTTTTATATATTCAGTCTTATGCCTCCTTTTGAGTTACACTGCTCTGCAGTGCATTAGGTCATGAAAAAAWTAGGAGTTCTTTTGCTGGAATCAATAAAATCTGTAACATTCAATATGCAATGTGAAAATTGTTTTCCAATTTTTAAAATAATTCAGCGACTGCACATCATATTTAGTTATTTTTCTCTTCAAATCATTTTCACTGGGCATATTTGGCTGGAAAATGAAAATTCTGGGGCATTAATACTGTGACTAAAAATGCATATTATAAGAAAGTTTATATAATGTTCAACAGCCTATAAGAACAAGTGAATTGAGATTGTGTGGAGTAAAAATTGAGATAAATAATAGTGTTTTATTCTGCAATTTCAAAATACCCACTGCAGTGTGAATTTTATAGAGTGCTTATATTACAAAAATTATACTTTGAATGTAAAATGAATTAGCAATGATGCAGAAAAGAATCTCTGATCAATTCAAGTTTACAGTTTCTGTCAAAAATAGTAGACATATGAACAGACAGAAAATCTTTATGGTGCTAAGTTACCTGATCACTTGATGAATGCATAGGTTAATGTTGTCTGTGCTTTTTCTTGCATTCAGTTAATGGTGTGCAACCAAATACAAGGTTGGTTCTTATTCCATCTTCACTTTCAGTTCTATCTGCTAGTGATGAGATCTTATAACTACGAGAGATGGAAAGTAACCTTACGAAGTGCAGCCAGCAATACCTTAAYGGGCAGAGCAAAGCAAGCAAGTGATTTTCACCCTCTTTGGAAATGGGTGTGCTTACCCCAGGAAAGTCCCTTCACCCAGAAAGTGAGGTGACCCAGATGTGCTGAGCGGAGCAGGCAGGGGCTGTTGTGAGCTGTGTTTGCTGCCCCAGCGCATTTTGGCCGGCTCCATTGGCCTCTCTGCACCTGGCGGCTGCTCCCCGGCTGGCTGAGCACCCCAAGTCCCTGCGGTGGGTCCGTAGTGATCCCTGTGTTGTGTCACGCCCCATCAGCGCAGGGCTGAGCACACTCATGGTGTACACACACACGTGCTCATTTCAGTGTCTGTGGTTGCACATGGTGAATATACTCGAATTTGCTTAAATGAACCCTCAGCAGTAAAGTACAAAGAAAGCTGTGCTGTATTCAGCATGTTCTTGTTGTCTGATGTTATATGGGGTAATTAGGTTGTGGTTTGCCCTGCAATACAATGTTTTGGAATTTGGACTCTAGTGAAAGAGGAGCTAACAATGTTTGTGCTAAGGCCTCTTCGTTTTCTTAGTTGCACTATGATATTGTAAATATTGGCACATCTACAGCATAAGTTTAAGATTTTACAAAGTTATGCGTACAATTATTTTTTTTAATGAAAAGTGCTCTGATATGTGCTTTTAAAAATATACCATTTTTGTATTCRTGTGATGCAGGAAACCAAAAAAACATAGCTGTTGATTTATCAGCAAAAAATGCAAAACTCGCAAAATAAATGCCGATGAATGTTTTATTTCTTATAATCAGCTGAAGAAAATCACCTTCATTTTTGTGCCATTGTTTCATCATACTGTATTGTACTTGTGTTTCATATTTGACCATGTCGTCCTGGTTGCAAATTTGTTATTTTGCTAGATTTAACATTAATGTAGATTACTGTGATGTAATAAATATCTATTAAAAATACACACTGTTCAGAGAATTTATTTTGGAAACGTGATTAACAGGCTTTAATAGAACACTTACAGTTGGTATTGCTTGTTCATTTTGGTTTAGCATTGGCCATCTAACCTTAGTGTAAGCATGGGGGTGTAAGTGGGATTCATGCATCCTAATGAGTTTCTTTAAAAAGTAGATGCATTCAGTGTCTTTTTTTAGTAATAAACTCTGGGTTTTAGTATGTAGATACAAAAAATTCTTCAAGGAAAAAATTGATTTGTAGTGGGCAGTAAATATAACTGCCTTGAACTGCTTATGGGTAACTWTGTGTGCACATGATGGGACAGATTTGAAATACGAAGTGGGGCTTTAGTAGAATGTCCAAAGCAAGGCACCAGTTCCCCATCAACAGCTCAGCCCCAGCAGCACTTCTCCTAAGACAAATATTAGGAAAATATGCTTGTGAAAAGCTAATAGTACTGAAACATACCTGGTGTGGTTTAAAATAAGTACCTAATTTTCTGATACATCTTTCCAACTCCTTAAAAATGCATATCCATAGCCTAGTTTTATTTCTTGTTTGCCAGGGGTGGGGGAAGAGAGATGTTACAATTTCTGACATGTCATCTGCCAGCCTGATACTTCAGCTGATGTTCAGACGCTTTCCTGGAGGGAACTGTGGGCCTGAGAAAAATTCTAGCTTTAAAATGCTCTTGGTTGCTGGTAAATAGGTCTGCCTAAAAAAGGTATATACACATAGAAAGGAAACAGTATGATACAAATGTGAAAGAGTAAAAACAAAGTAATTGAGGTTTCTGTCTCTATCAAGAAACAGTAAAAAAATACAACAAGAGCTTTTAAAATACCAATAAATAGTTTAAATTAAAGTGGTTATTTTTTTGTGCCCTTAATTAGATGGAAGAAATAAGAACCTCCTTTATGGCTTTTCAATTTTTATTCTGTAGTTGAGTGGACAATTTTATCTGTGTATAACTTCAGAAGAGGTAAAAGGAAACCTTCCCTTTGCATCATTGCACGTGTAACTTTTTATGCTAACCACAATATAGAAATAGAAATGACAGTAATAAGTTCCGATACCACAAACCTGATTTTTTTTTTAATACCATCAGTCTCGTATGAATGATGCCAAAGRCCGAGTGAGCCTAGAGTTTGAATTATGGCTCAGTTTTGCAAGCAGCTTTTAGTAACTAGTGGAGGTTAGATTTAAATTTATTTATTTATTAGTGTAGGAAAGTAATATATTTAAATTTATTAGTGTAGGAAACTATGTTGGTCTTTTTGAATTATCTTGTTACACATGAGTGTATAAGCATCCAGTACTGCAGCTTAGGAAGGGGATCTTGATAAAACAAAGGGCTTCAAATTTGCAAATTTAACTTCAGTCTGTCAGCTCCATTTCCTTGATAACTCTCCCATTCGTCCCTCTGTCCTTCAAAGAAGAAAACCAACACAAGACCCTGATAATATGCCAGATAATTGCTTATGTCATTTGAATTTATCTCTTCTCCAAGTTGCATAAAGCCTGAATTGCATAAATGAACAACAACAAAAAAATCATTTCCCTGTGTAGGGCCTCTCTTAAATGTCTAAAAAAAAAAACAGGGCAGGATGTAGAATCGTGAATAAGTTTGTAAGCAGGTTTCCATACATTTTTTATTGTACATTTCCAGATGAAACAGTTTATAGATAAATTTTAATCTGATGTGCCAAATTACTGCAGTATCCAAACTGGAACAGAAAACAAATGCATCATTTCTCTTTCTATACATTGAACTCCATTGGGTTCCATTCTTTCTGCATGAAGATTGTGGATTTCATGTTTCTTCATGAAGTAACTTTTTTGCCAGCTCTGTACTGTTTATATGAGAGCTTTTTTCCCCCAGACTCAACTGGCTGGGCAAAAAAATATAAGGCTAAACAAAAGGAAATAAACATTTTTCACTGGATGTCGTTGGGAGAGGGAATTTCATTGTAACCCTTTGCTTCTCTCTGAGTTGAATAATAATAAAAAATCAGTTTATCTTCTTAAAAGTTGCCTCAAAATGTATTACTTTACTGTTTTAAATCAGGTGTCCTCTGCTTTTGCACTTTGGTGTTGTACCATTTTGCTGTTCATTGACTCACTTATTTCTTGCTTAACACCGTTACATATTACAGGAATTTCTTTATCCCTTCAAAGCCTTTCAAAGCTAATAGCTGCACTGGACAGTTGTCTTTATTTTATCATTATTCATGATCATCTTTAGGTAAAGGAACTGAGTCTGTCAGGTAGTCATGGCAGTTACCTTGCAAAAGTTTTTTTTATAACCAGACTGAACACTAGTGTGGGCTCCAAAAGAGGGGTGCATGGTGGCTTAACTGCTTAGTTTGGGGTTTAATGCTATTTTTCCTTACTGAGYTGAACTTCATCTCACATGTATTACTCACACACTTTGTATTTTTTTTTTAATTCCGTAGAGTTCTTTGGAATTGATACAAATTTAGGAGACATAATTTAAGGGCATTAATAATTCCCTTCTCCTGCGCCTCTTTCCTGAACTTACACCTTGTTTACTAATTTTAGTTCTCACTTCATTAAGCCCATTTGTAAAAGAGTAGAATTCTGCATGAGATCCAAACTTAGCCTTACACCTAATGTGCYTTTCTGTTACATTTCCTCCAGATGCTTCCTTCATGCTAGAAAAATACAAAAGAACCTATTGTTGAGAGACTTGGTAGACTCCACATGAGCTAATAAAGGTTTTGAGAGGTTTAGAAAATAGAATGCAGCGTTTAAGGTTCAAGATTCAGGAATCTGAATTGCAYGAGCAAACTTCCTAGTCATACTTGTTTAATTTTCTTTTCATAATTGCTGACTCAAGTAGTCCACAAGAACAATTCCTGCTGTTTAGTTGGAGTGGAATTTTAAAATTAATTTAGGACAAAGGCGAGAGACATTACAGTAATTTTTATTTGGTTGCCTCTTTTTTTTTCATGGCTTTAGCACAGTTTCCACTGACATATGAACTGTTTACCAAACAGTTGCAAAATAAATCTCCTTGTGAGATGTGGCTGAAACTCTGTAGCGCCAATGTTTTCATTGGCATCAGTGCATGGTGTGGTGTGCTGGCCATCTCTTGTATAAACCTGAAGAGGATCTGAAATCTTTTCAGCAAAGACCTGATTTTTTTATGCCATCACTTTCATGAAGGTGTGCCATAAAACTGGCCACGTGCTGGCAACCTGTGCAGCTGGACCCCTTTAAATCTGTGTAAAAGCGATGACATTCCAAGCACCTCAGCATCTCTTAAAATTAAAACAGCTAATTGCATTAAAGTCCATGTGTTGAAGAGATTACACCCTGGCTTAGGATTTGTTTTCCCCCCTCCCCATTGTCATGGTTTTACTTGGTCCGATTCTTGGTGCTGGGGGGATGGGATCAAGAAACCACAAAGATGGCTCTTKTGAGGAAGTTCTAGGGGCTGTCTCCTTCTCCAGCAAAAGGAGYCCTACCCCCTGTGTTTCAGAGCCAATCCATTATRGCTCTGAGGGTGATGGAGAGGCTGATMATCAGGCCTGGGCCAATTGCACAGGTTGGTTACACCTCTGTGATGATGTATTATCTAGTATTTAGGAAAAATTCAAAACAAGATAGGGGCGGCTGCCATTTGTAGCTTTAGGTTATTAGTATGTAGTTTTAGTATCATGCACTGGGGAAAAACAGAGCAGGAGGGTGAGGAGATGTAAGAAGAAAAATGGAGACCTAAAGATCACAGTAAGGAGAAGATGGGATTGGCTTGCTGTGCTTTTTGCTGTGGTTCTCGAGCATGGAGAGAATAAGTTGTTCTCAAAAAGGACTATTTCATCATTGAGAGAGAGACCTGAATAGAAAAAGAGAGCGACCTTGCTGAAGAAAAAAAACCTGGCCTTTGAGGACTGGACTGAACAGCCAAAAAGGGGGAAGAGGCTTGGTCCCCCCCACGACGTCTGAAGTAAGTGGATGCTTAGAAGAAGCTGTGCTCTGCCAGGAGGTTTGTGATAGTGGTCTTGCGCTGCTGAAACAACGCAGTTTGGCCTTGAAGGACATTCTTTCTTTTTCTCCTACAATGTAAAGAAAATACTCCCTCATCATTAGCAGTTATGCACTGACTGTTCTTAGGAAAAAAACTTCCACAGCTTGGAGCTGTAAGAACACTTCTCCTATGATGCTGGACAGCAACCGTAATGAGTAGTTTGATCTGTGTTAGACTTTCATTCCTGCCCCCCTTTGTGTGCGAGAAAACATGGGGGAGGGAAGAGGGAGGATCTGGGAAAGGGACGGGTCCCGGAAAGGATAACAGGTGTCTTAAAATGTCCGTTTTATTTCTCTTTTCCTTGTAAATCTGTCCCTATCTCTGTTCTCCTCCCCAGTGCCGTAGTAYTCTTAGTAGTTTGTAGTAATAAATCTATTTTGCAACTTAAGTTATGCAGCCTGTCTGACTATCTCTCTGGAGCACATACATATCTTTCTCCCAATTACGTTATGTTATCTGAAAGCCATAAATTTTCGTGTTAATTGGGCTTTTGCTCTCCCTTCTCCCTCTCCAGTGGGGGGGGAGGGAGGGAATATTGTGGGTGCAGTGCTTTTGGTTTTCAGCACAGTCTAAACCATCACATTTTCTGGTGCACTGGCYGGGAAATTGGGAAAAATYAGGTTTTAAACCCACGACACCCATCTGCAAGATCCCTGATGGGGTTCACATCTGTGAGAGCAGCAGCGCKCATGACAGGCTGCCTCACAACTGGCAAGCCAGCTGCAAGGAGCACTGAGACCCACAAGGATTGCTGGACCCGCAGGGCTTTCAGCTTGTGAGAACAATGAGCTAATTAAAGTCTAAATAAATGAAATGTCCTTCTAGCTGAAGTAAAGATAAATAAATAAATGCCTGCATGTTGTGGAATAGGACTGAATAAAGATGAAAATATTTGTGTCGTGTTTATCCACTAAYATTCCTTTAACTGTGGAAGGGGGTCGCCAG